GTCGTGGGTGTCTGGGGGGGCCTGGGGGCTCATGGAGTTTGGGGGGGGTCTCAGGGATCCCGGGGGTCCTGGGGGTGTCCCGAGGGTCTGGATCTGGGCTGTCCCCACCTCAGGGCTGTCCCCAAGGGGTCTGTCAGGGTGCAGGGCTGAGGGGGGGGGGTCTCTTTGGGGTCTCAGCCCCCCACTTTCCCCCGCAGACCCCCGCAGCCCCGTGCTCAGCCTCGTGAGCTGCTTCTCGGGCGGGGTTTTCATGGGCACCTTCCTGCTCGACCTCCTGCCCGACTACCTGGGCAGCATCGCTGCGGCGCTGGAGGGGCTGCGCGTCACGGTGAGACCCCCGGGACGCCCCCGGCGCCTGTCCCTGTCCCCACGGGGTCCCTGTCCCTGTCCCCACGGGGTCCCTGTCCCCACGGGGTCCCTGTCCCCACAGCTGTCCCTGTCCCCAAGGGTGTCCCTGTCCCCAAGGGTGTCCCTGTCCCCACGCGTGTCCCTGTCCCTGTCCCCACGGGGTCCCTGTCCCTGACCCCACGGGGTCCCTGTCCCCGGGATCGGGAAAGGGGCTGGTGGGGAGGGGGTGGCTGGGATGGGGACAGTGCAGTGGGGACAATGAGAATGGGACAAGGACAGAGGGAGGACAGAGTGAGAGTGGGACAAGGAGAGAGGGCGGACAGTGAGAAAGGGACAAGGACAGAGTGGGGGACAGTGGGGGTGGGACAAGGACAGAGCGCGGACAGTGCAGAGGACACCGTAAGAGTGGGACACTGAGGGCACTGAGGATGGGGAAGGACAGGGCAGCTGGGACAACACAGAAGGGACAGCAGGGCCAGAACGGTGACACCATCCCGGGAATGGTGACACGTCCCCGGGAGCCCCTCGAGCCGCACATGACGCACGCCGAGCTCCTCACATGCCCGCAGCTTCCCCTTGGCGCTGACCCCCCCTTCCCGCAGCTGCAGTTCCCCCTGCCGGAGTTCATCCTGGCCATGGGCTTCTTCCTGGTGCTGGTGCTGGAGCAGGCCACGCTGGCGCAGCGGGAGCTGGCTGAGCCTCCCGAGGAGTCGCGGGCGCTGCTGCCCGGCGCCTCCATCCAGGCCGCGGCCCCGGTGGGCTCGGCGGCTCCCGGGGGTCGCGGGGCGCTGCGCGCCGGGGCGCTGGCGCTGGCGCTGGCGCTGCACGCCGTGCTGGAGGGGCTGGCGCTGGGGCTGCGCGAGGGCGAGGCGGCCGCGCTGCGCGTGCTGCTGGCCCTGCTGCTGCACAAGGGCGCCGTGGCCTTCGGCCTCTCGCTGGAGCTGCTGCGGAGCCGCCTGCGCCCGCCCGCCGTGGCCTCGTGCCTGGCGCTGCTGGCCCTCATGTCCCCGCTGGGCGTCGGGGTGGGCACGGCGCTGGCGGCGGGCGCGGGGCCGCGGCAGCGGCTGTGCCGGGCGGTGCTGGAAGGGCTGGCGGCCGGTACCTTCCTCTTCGTCACCTTCCTGGAGATTCTGCCGCAGGAGTTGGGGGCGCCCGGGAATCGCATCCCCAAGGTCATCCTGATCCTCGCCGGCTTCGCGTTGGTCAGCGCCGTTCTCTTCGTCAAGGGGTGAGATCGCCCGGCTCGGGATCCGCGGCCCGGCCTGGGAGGATCCCGTGGAATTCACGTAGCCCCCGCCGCGTCCTCCTTTCCGAAGTGCCAAAGTGCCTCCGCCGTCGCTGTGCCTCAGTTTCCCTGGCTAAGCTGTCCTCTTTCTCAAGGGGAGACCCCGCCAGGCCTGGGATCCCCCCGTTCTCGCTCCTGGAATTCGTGTCCCACCCTGCGCCCCCCGTTCCGAAGTGCCAAAGTGCCTCTCTCAGCGCTGTGCCTCAGTTTCCCCGTCTGCACAAGGGATCGGTGCTGTGACCCCCCCCCTCAGGACCCTGGGAGGGGGTGAGTGTCCCCCCCCCAATAACCACAAGTGCCCTTACGGACTCCCCCGGATTTGGGGGTGTTGGATGAAGCAAATAAAGGACTGAACCCCAAATCGCTGCCTGTGCCTGGGGAGGGTGGCATGGAATTTGGGGTGTGTCGCAGTGACCCCTGCTCACCCCCCGGGATATATGGGCTGGGGGAGTCTGGTACCCCCAGTTTTGCGTGTCTGCTCTGTTCCCAGGCTTGGGGCGGGGGTGACCCCGCTGTACCCCCCCAGAGCCCCCCATTTCAGAGCCCCTCCATCCTCGTCCGCCCCGCTCCCCTCACGGCCGCAGACCACGCCCCTGCCATAGGCCACGCCCCCGCCCCGCCCTGTCTCGCCGCGCGCTGCTCTCCGGGACTTGTAGTCCGCACCTCCCTCACCCCCCAGTACTTCGTAACCCGGCTCCTCCATTTCCCAACACTCCCTGCGTAGCGCCCGCACAAACCGCTGGGAGTTGTAGTCCAGGCACCCAGCGCGCCCTGCTGTTGGCCCTGCCTGCTGAACTACAGATCCCGGCGAGCCGCGCGCGGCGGCGGCGGCGGAGCGGCGGAGCGGGGAAGATGGCGGCGGCGGGCGCGGGGGCCGGGCCCGGGCCCGGCGCGGGACCCTCGGCCGGCGCCGGGGCGTCCAACCCGCGCANTGGGGAGGGGGTTAGGAGGGGACTAGGGAGGCTGCGAAGATGCTGGGGGGGGGAGTTTGAGGGGTCCAGGGGTGCTGTGAAGAATTTGGGTTGGGGGTAGAAGGGTCCGGGAGGGCTCGGAAGGCTTTGGGGGTGTTAGAGGATTTTGGGGAGGGGGTTCGGAGGGGGGTCCAGGGGGGCTCCGGCGTGTCCCGCGTGCCGCTTTCCAGCGCAGCTCCCGGAATTGGAGTGGGAGAAGGATCCCTGGTGCCTCGGGTCCCATCCCGTGGGAGCTCCGGGCTCGGTCCCGGTCCCCGGGGACCCTCGGGATCCCGGGGGATGCTCAGGTTGGGCTTGGAGCTGGGAAAGGCAGGGAGCTGCTCCCGGGATGGCAGATCTGGCATCAATCCCCCCCGGCAGCTCCGGGAAAGGCGAATGCTGGCCCCGAGGGCTGCTCGGAGGGACTCGGGAAGGCCGGGAATGCTCCAGATGTGCTTCGGGAGGAGCTGGTCAGGAATTGCCTCCCGAAACCTGCGGGAATTTCCTGTCTGCCATCCCGGGGTTTGGTGGAATTTGGTCCTTCCCAGCCCAACTGCGGGATGGAGGAGCGAGGATGAGGAGGGTGGGATCCGGGGAGAGGCTCGTCCAGGGGATGGGGGCTGCTCTATCCCTGGAAAAATCCAGGGAATACCCAGCAGAGCTTTCAAAACCGGGAATTTTTGGCTTGGAGAGCCCCCGTGGCTCCCGGCTCTGCGGGGACCCGGGGTCTGGGATGTCACTGGCGCAGTGACAGGGACATCCTTGGAGAGTTTGGGGATGGGCCGGACCTTTCTGTCCCTTCCTGGGGAGTTTAGGAACGGGGTGGAGCATCCCCGGATCCTCTGCCGTGCTTCCATCCCCAGGGATTTTGGGGCCGTGTTTGCAGAGCAAACAGCTGGTTAATGTGCAGCGGGGGCAGTCCTGATCCCTGCCTGGAGTCATTCCTCCGGGAATTCACTCCCTGATCCCCCGCTGGGATGGCTCCTCTGGGAATTCCTTCCCTCATCCCTGCCCGTGTGGGATCCGCAGCCCCCCCCAGCTTTGCTCCGTGGTTCCCGGAGTTTTTCCCGGTTCTTTCGAGGCTGCTCCCGGATTCCAGGCTCCTGCAGGGATCCTGGCTCGGAGCTCCGTGCTCCATCCCAAGACCTTAAGCCCCAGCGCAGCTCCGGGCGCTAATCCCGCCAGCTGCTGCCTAAATCTCCTGGTTTTTTTGGGTTGTTTTCCTTGTTTTTTCCCCTCTGGATCTGGATTCCCATGGTTTTACGCTCAGGAATTTGGTGTTTCCCGTTTCTCAGCTGGTTTTTGGGCTTCAGCTTCTCTTTCCCTGGGACTTCTCCAGGCGCTGAGGAACAGCAGCTCTTGGATCTACTCAGGGACCCCCAGCTCCAGGGGGAAAGGGGATTCCTGTGGGTTTATCCCAGGGAATTGCTCCCTCCCTGGGGATTGGGAGCAGGGGAGCCCTTCCTCGCTGTGGGGTTGATCAGGGGAACCCTGCTCCGTCAGGATGGGGGGGATTGGGCCATGCCCTGCTGCTGGAGGGTGCTGGGGGCCGTTCCCTGTCCCGGGAATCCCGGGTGGTTTTGGGATCCCCTTATCTCCCGCCGTGCTTTGCTGTGGCTCCTTCCCCCGGCCTTGAGTCCCTGGAATCTCCGGGGTGGCCTTGGCGTGGATGAGGTGGAAAATCCCTCTGGATCCGTGACCCCAGAGCCTGTCTGGGACAGGGGGAGCCAGGCTCAGCCTCTGATCCAGGACCGTGGGACAGGGATCCTCTCTCGGCATCCCGACCCTCACCCATCCCGCTCTGGATCCAATGCATCCCCCTGCGGGGGGCAATGCTGTGCGGGAAGGGGAGCTGGGTGTCCCAGGGTGTGGTTTGAGGGGTGCTGGACCCCCCAAGACCCCCGTGACGTGTCCCCCCTCGGTGTCCCCCCAGCTGCAGGCGCAGAAGCTGCGGCTGGCCCACAGCCGGGGGCCCTTCTACAGCGGCTCCCTGCCCAACGTCAACCAGATCGGCACCGGCGGCCCCGAATTCCAGGTGACTCCAGGGGGGCCTGGCTGGGTGGGGATGTTCCTCGATCCCTTCACCCACAGCTCGAGCGGGAGCTGGTCCTGAGCCCTTCCCGGGTGGGCTCAGCCGTTCCCCCTCCCCTCAGGGCCCGTCGCCGCTGGATTCCACGCGGAGCACGCGGCACCACGGGCTGGTGGAGCGCGTCCAGCGGGACCCGCGCAGGATGATGTCCCCCCTGCGCCGCTACGTCCGGCAGATATCCTTTGTCCCGTGTCCCCGGCGCTCCCGCCCTTGCCACGGGGGATTTGGGAACCCCCCGCTCTCCGTGTGGCCCTTAACGTGCCCCCCACATCGACAGCTCTCCCTACGGACCCACGTACCTGTCGCCTCCGCCTGAGCCCAGCTGGAGGAGGTAATTCCCTGCTTTCCCTGGATCCTGTTCCCATCCTGGAGGTTTAGGAGTGGAAGAGGCTCTGGCACAGGCGCCGTTCCTGGGATCTGGGATGGGGCAGAGGGAAGCGCTGGGAGAGGGCTGGGGGGAAGCTCCTGCCTCTCAGATTCCGGGATTGTCCCACAAAGTGTCCCCAAATTTCATCCAGGAAGAGGGGTCTGGCTGAGGGGAATCCCCAGGGACAGGGACAGGTGACAAGTCTGAGCTCCAGCTCTGTCCCTGGAGAGTCTCTGTCCCATGTCCCTGTCCCCATCCCGTGTCCATGTCCCCATCCCATGTCCCTGCTGTCCCAGCCCTCCCACAGCAGGGAATGGGGTCATGGGTCACTGAGGGGTGTCCTGCCTGCCCCATGGCTCCTTGTTCCCCACCCCATCGTCTCCCCTGATCCCACTGTCCCTCCACAGGACCATGCCCTGGAGCAATTTCCCCATGGAAAAAGGACACTTATTCCGGCTGCCCTCAGCTCTCAACAGGTAATGGATGGATTGATTCCATTTCCTCCCTCTTCCCAAGCCAGGCTCCGGCCCTTCCTTGGAACCCCTGCAGAGGAGGTGGCCCTGGGGACCCCCCTGGGGAGGAGGTGGCCCCTGACTCCCCCTCAGGGCCCCCCACTGGAAGGGTCCCTTTGCTCCCCTGTGCCACAGCTGAACAATGTCCCTCTTTGTCACTCATCCCAGCAGCCTTTTCCCAGCCCTTCCCTGCCCTCCTCTGCCTTGGAACAACTCATTGGGAACACCCCGGCTGCCCCCAGCCCCTAAAGGGTCCCCTGGGGGTCCCCATTGTCCCCCCATGCCGGGGGGTGGTGGAGGAGACGGGAGCAGAGCCGGCGTGGGGGCACAGGGAGAGGGACCCACATGGGGAGGGGGCACAGGAACAGCAGGAGGGGTCTGGGGCTGGGCTGGGGGGCTGTCAGTGGGGTGGGGGCCGGGCTGAGCCCGGATCCAGGCAGCTCTCCCCATTCCCAGGACGAATTCCGACTCGGCGCTGCACACGAGCGTGATGAACCCCGCGCCCCAGGACGCCTACCTGGGCCCCTCTCAGGCCGGGCCCCCCCCTGGCCGCCGTGCTGGTGAGCCCCCCACACCCCCCTGGGGGCTCCCAGGGCAGCCCCCTCCCCTTTGTGCTCCCCCTGACCCTCCTGCTCCCCCACAGGTTTCCTGGACGGGGACTCGGACAGCAAAGGTGAGCGTGGCACCCAGCCATGTCCCCAGGTCCCCTCTGTGTCCCCAGGTCCCCTCTGTGCTGGGGGGGCTCTGATGTGCCCCCCTCTGTGTCCCCTCCTCCCACTGACCCCCTGTCCCCTTCCCAGTGTTTCTTTTCCAAGTGCCTCCCATCGAAGAGAACTTCGATGACAACAAGCACTCGCTGAAGCCCTGGGACACCAAGAAGGTGGGTGGGGGTGTCCCCCTGTGTCCCCCACTTGCTGTCCCCCCCACCCCTGTGGCCTGGCCTGGCCTCATTCCCGTGCTTTGATCCCACAGCTCTCGTCCTCCTCGGCCCGGCCACGCTCCTGCGAGGTCCCAGGAATCCAGTGAGTGCTGGGAGGGGCTGGGATGGGGAGGGGGCTCCCAGGGAGGGGCTGGAGGTTGGAAAGGGGGCACTGGGGGGCTGGAGCTGGGTAGGGGGCACTGGGCAAGGGCTGCTGGGGGAGGCAGCCCCGCTCCTGCCCTGATCCAGTCTCTCCCCCCTCTCCCAGCATATTCCCATCCCCGGATCAACCTGCCAACGTGCCCCTCATGCCCTCGGCCCTCAACACGGGGGGGTCCCTGCCCGACCTGACCACACTGCACTTCCCATCCCCCCTGCCCACCCCCCTGGACCCTGAGGAGGCCCCGTACCCCCCCCTGAGCGGGGGCAGCAGCACCTCCAACCTGGCCACCACCATGACCCACCTGGGCATCAGCGGCACCGGCGGCGTCGGGCTGGGCTACGACCCCCCAGGTGAGCCGGGACCCCCTCCCTGCACCGGGGGCACACGGGGGGCCAGAGAGGACCCCGAGGCTGGGAACTGCTGTGGGGGACACGGGGAGCCTCAAGAAAGGTGGGGAGCCCTGGCCAGTGTGGGGGACACAAAGACCCCACCCCCAGGAGGTGTCCTGGGGTGGCTGTGGCAGCTCCAGGGATCCCAGTCTGGGATGGAGTCTGGGAGTGGGGTGGGGATGGGCTCTGATGGATTTGGGGGTCCTGTGGGTGTGTGGGGGGAGCCCAGCTCCCACCCTGTTGCCCTATGGGGTCCAGTGGTGTTGTGGAGGCCTGGGGGGAGCCCAGCTCTCACTCCCTGGGGTCTGATGGTGACAGGGGGCCGGGAGGAGCCCATCTCCCACCCCCTCCCACCGCTGTCCCCCTGCCCGGGGTGTGTGTCCGTCCCTGTGTCCGTCTCCATCGTTTTGGTCGCTCCATTCCCCCTCCATCCCCCGGGAGCCCCGCCCGGGCCGTCCCGGGGCTCGGGGCCGTGCCGGGGTAACGGTGCTCTCTGTTTTTATCCCCACAGGACTCCCCTCACCTCTGCAGAGCTCCCTGAGTAACCCGTCCCTGCAGTCCTCCCTGAGCAATCCCAACCTCCAGGCCTCCCTGCGCAGCCCCTCACTCCAGGCCTCCCTCAGCAACCCCTCGCTCCAATCCTCCCACAGCAGCTCCTCCATCCCCTCCTCTCTCTCCAACCAGTCCCTGCCTTCCTCCCTGTCCTCCTCGCTCTCCAACCCCTCGCTGCCCACGTCCCCCCGCAGCCAGCCCCTCCAGTCCTCGCCCAGCAACCCCAGCCTGCCCTCGGGGCTGGGCGGCTCCTTCGCGGCCACCTCGCCCCGCCGGCGGGTCCCGCTCAGCCCCCTGTCCCTGCCCGTGGCCGGCGACTGCAGACGGCAGCACCCCAAACAGTTCTCACCAACAATGTCACCCACATTGTCCTCCATCACCCAGGTACGCATCGTCCCCACGCTCCAGCGCCGCCGCCTCCTCCTCTTCCTCGGCCTCTTCCTCGTCCCCCTTCTCTTCCTTTCCCCTTCCTTCTCCTCCTCCTTCCTCCTCATCCTCTTCCCCGTCCTCCTCCTTCTCATCCTTCTTGTCTTCCTTCTCTTTCTCTTTATTTTCTTCCTTATCTTTCTCTTCTTCCTCAGCCTCTTCCTCGTCTCCCTTCTCTTCCTTTCTTCTCTTCCTCAGCCTCTTCCTTGTTCCCCTTCTCTTCCTTTCCCCTTCCTTCTCCTCCTTCCTCCTCATCCTCTTCCTCCTCATCCTTCTTATGTTCCTTCTCTTTCTCTTCTTTTTCTTCCTTCTCTTTCTCCTCTTCCCCATCCTTGTCCTTGTCTTGGACCTCATCTTTGTCCTCTTCCTCGTCTTCATCCTTCTCTTCCTCACCCTCCTCTTTATCCTGCTTGTCCTCAACCTCCTCATCCTTGTCCTCCTCTTCTTTCCCCTCCTCCTGCCCTTCACTTCTCGTCTCGTTTCCATCCTCATCTCACCCACACCCCAGGGCCCCCCCTCACCCCCGCCCCCCGTTCTCAGGGCCAGTGGGGGGGACCCCCGTGTCCCTCCCAGGCCCCCTCCCCTCACAGGGGACCCCGGCCCACCCTGGGTCCGGGCGCAGCCGTGGCCAATTCGGGGCTCTCAGGGATGGCTGCCAGTGCCGGGGGGGCTGGGGGAGCCCCCCACCCTCAGGGGGGGCCGTGCTGACCCCCCTCCCTCCCCGCTGTCTTGCAGGGCGTCCCCCTGGACACCAGCAAGCTGCCGGCGGAGCAGCG